CCCGGTGGGACTCTGCTCGCTCCCTTCCCTCTGACCCTGACCGTGCACCCCCCAGTCCGGTTTCCTGCCTGCTGTGGAACCGAGTTCTGGGATGTCCAGATGCCGACCCTGCCCTGTGAGTACTGCCAGCTGCCGCGATCATCGTCAGGAAGAGTAATATCAATTTTGTATATTCTATTTCTATTATTAGCAGTATTAGCTTTAATACTATTTATACTATTTCCACTGTTATTGTTTTATTAAAGTTTGTTTTAAGTTTCCAACCCCTAACTCTCTCTCCCTTTTCTCCTCTCCTTCCCCTCTGGGAAAGGACGGCATTAACAGCGGGTGCCACCCGCTGTAAGCACCAGCCCAGCCTGAAACGGTGACATCCTCAAAGAGGGATCCAGGGAGAAACCCTTCTCTTGCCATGGCAGTCTGGCCAACCCTATGCTCTCTCAGCTGTAGGCAGCTAGTCATGTTTACCTCTGCCTTCCTAAGACACTTTCAAGCTTTGTAAGTACGCAGCTGTCAAGTCAGCCGTGGAGCTTTTCAGCTCTTCCCCTAACACCACAGTAGCATTCTTTGGAGCTGGCGTGGTTTGGAGAAGAAGACCTGACCTTTGGAGGCAGACTCAAACTCTGACGTCTAGTCTACATGGACTGCAGATGACTTTCTCATTTAAATTTATTATTATTTAGGCTAAGGATGGATTTATTCCTGCCTGTCTTGTGTTCCAGGCCACTTCTCAAATGGTCTTTCCTCGCCAGCAAATAATTTCAATACTTTAACGTGTCAATGGAACAACATAATTCACTGAAAATCCATTTTGTAAAAAATTCTCTAACCAGATCTATCTGTAAGATGCGTATGAACTGAGTTACAGCTCATATCATATTTTGAGATTTTCATCTTCATATTTTTGTTCCTTCAAAAAAGTCAGTCCAGAAGAAAGTAACTCAGAATACTTATTTTTAAGGAATTTCTACTCATTACGATGAGAATTCATCCAGAGACATGGCCAGCAACGAAAGCATCTTTAGTAATCCATCAAATTCCACACTGATACTTGCCTAATCAACTATTTCTCTTGAAATTAATAGAGGATAGGACCCAAATTCAGAACTATGAGAGATCTATGTACTTGTTGGTTGCATGCATAAACAAAGTAGCAATAGACTTAATTCAGATCTGGTCAGTTGAAAGTTCAGATTTTTCATAGTGCATTCAACTTCTTTCCCCATATAGATTCTAATAAAGTTTGTCTACTATGGTTTTAGCCAAAAGCACTAAAAAAAATTTTTTTATTCCTGACATTAAAGTATTTTAAAACATCATTTTCCTTCATTCACAATAAAGACACTTCCTGCACACTGTCAGAATGCTTAATAATTATTTATTACGGTTTGTTAGTATTCTTTTCAGTGGAAAACAGCTTTTATCTCATTTTCTTACTGCATGGGATAGGATTATTGATGTGATATGGTTTCATTTTCGCTCTCAGGGCTCTCAGGTGTTTTTTGATCTCTATGAAAGTTATGAACAAACAAGTACTACCCTCCTTCAAAATACATATCCGGATGGGCTTTCCTTAGACATAAGAATTACCACCATTAGTATTACACTTGTCAACTGACAATTTTGTATTTTATATCCCATCTCTCTCATAGTGAAACACACTTCACTGATGACCCAATGCAAAGAGAGAATTTTGAGGAAAACAGGTAACACTAAGGGTTTTTCATATATGTCAGAGCAAATCAGCCCTCTAGAAATCAGCATCCCTCTCTTGGATTAGTTTACAGGAATACAGAATAAACTAAGATCTCAATACAAACAAGATAATGAATGTATTAAAATACCTGGCTTATATCACTTGTCCATGCAGCTTTCTCCTGTCGTGATGGGGCTAAAAGGACAATCGTAAAAGGCGGAGCATCCGTAGGTTCAACTACAAGCTTGAAATCAAGGTGTCCAAACACTTGTCCAGAACCTTTTGCTTTACAGTCAGAGGGGGTAAAAAATGTCAAAATGTGAGACTTCAGACTATAAGACAAAGAAAATAATGGTTTCATTTAAAATGGAAGTTACTTTAAAATATCTCTCTGACAAAGAGCATCTCCAATTGGGGATCCAAAACTCATTTTGTTTTTCACATACACCAAACACAAAAAAAGTTATGAATATGAAATTGTGGGAGTTCCTATACATTTCTTTTGAAGATACCAAATAAGCTGAAATCCTTCTAACACTCGTATGCTGATACACTCTCAGCATACTAGAAGTATCACTGAAATTAATGAAGCTACTTTCACAATTCAAGTGCAAAACTTGCCTAGAACTGCAGGATGGAAGCCAAAATGAGTAATAAAATCAGCCGAGGACCATGTTTTGTTACTTCATTTGAACAAGCTTGCAATCAAGACTTGTAGGGGATCCAAGACAAAAACTTTCCACTAATTCTGCCAACTCACTCAACCCCCATTTATTTAAGAAACCCAATTATCTGCTTCTTCTTTAAAGGCGTTTTTTTTTTTCTTTCTAAGATCCTCTGGGTTAAGTTGTATACAAAAGTCAGCAAATAATTTGTCACATTCCTTCAGCCAGTCTGCTTGAAAATCCTATGTGGGATGTCAACAAGAACAAGCAGAATAAAACAAACCTTTATCCCAGCCAGCATGCCCATTATTAAAACATCTTTTCTATTGAATCGGTTTAATGCTGTATTCCTCTCGTTTCATGAAAGTGGAGAATATATCAATTTGCTCTTATGAAAAATAAACAAAGGGTACCAATTTTAAGAAACTAGAAACTGTAATTACTACAAACAGCTGAATTTAACTTACAATCATCATCACTTGCATCTGTCTCCTCGATCAGTGTGCACTCTATTAAAGACAGAACACCTCCTGTCTATGAAAACAAAGCACATTTTTCACAGATTTTGACACTTGTTCCCATTTGTCATTATAGTTATTTTTAAACTTTGATATACTTTACTGTAAGATTTTACATTACTCAGAGCTGTTATGAAGATACCTCCATTTCATGATGCATATTTTTCCTCAAGAACTAAATGGAGCTAGATTAAATATAACACTTTTCTTAATGCAACAAATCAATAATATACTCAAATGTACAAAATTTCTTTCATTTTTACCACACTATAATTTATTTCACATATAGACTTGTTCACAAGTTTCAAAAAGGGTAACTAGAATTTCATCTTCTCCTGAATTTGAATCAAATACATGCAAGATTTTTTTAAAGGTTCAGTTTACTTTGCAAAATACTTGAACTATTTAAGGAATGAAAAGTGAGAAAGCATATGAACAGTCTTAATAACCTCTCAGAAATGTCTTTGTCAAATTAAAATTTTATTCGATGTAATGCACTCCATAAACTACCAACACTTATTCATAAGCCAACATTATGAAAGCCTGATTCTCCACAAATAAAACTAGAGTCTTCTTAGAAGAGTTTTCAGTTTAAAAGAATGTGCTGTTCAGGAAAACAAAATTGACTTTTAAAATTAATTTTATTAGAGCTCTGGAAAACATTGTTTGGTAATTCCATGGGGTTGTACTGGCTGATATATGCACTGAAAACTGACTTACGTTCAGTGCTAGCTTATACAAATAGACACACCGATGTCTTGTTTCTAACTCCCAACTTATTAGAATTACATGATTCTAGAAAAAAAAATGTAGTTAGGAAGAACTTTGGCTGAATTCCATTATTTACAATGAGTAGACAAAGCAGTTAACTACTGTGCATCACCCCACTTCTGTTTATACCAACACATGTAAATCCCAGATTAAAGCTATAAAATAATAAAATACTGAAATTTCACTGAAGCTGTGTTTTCATTTTGTAAATTGAGTCGTAACGTAAAGTCTATACCTTGAGAAGATGCAGTTTTCCTCCTGAACTTCTTGTACAAATTAAAAAATGTTTTGTAAATAAGAAGCACTGCCTTTCTCCTTCCTTCTTCAAAGATAATGATCCCAGACGAACTTTACTAAGTTTTCCCCTCTCAACTGAAGGGACTTGAATAAGGGAACCTGATAATAAAAATGCAAAACTTACTGTACTATAGTAATATTTAGTAGGCAGTCTTTAAAGTGTTAATGCATTGAATATTATGATACTATTTAATGCAACTTTTCATTCTAGTAAGTATCAATATACACCAGCATCTGTTTTAAGCACATCAATCATCTTGTTTTGCACAAGTTCACTTTAGTTTTTATGATAAATAGACTCAAGCAAGTACAGTCTAGACTAATACTTATGTATACGGTAGGATTAGATCTTGGGCAAATTCTTACACAATTTAAACACACTAATAGCACATTGATCAGAAAATGAAGCTGAACAGCACACTGCACTTTTGACAGCTGCTAGACTTGTGAAAGATACATTACTTACAAGCCAAACAGACAGAGGATGAAAATAACAGGTTTTGAAGGAAAAGAGCTTGTGTATGTGTGCAAGAGAGATGGAAATGAAGCACATTTCTTCTTATCTTATACTGCATAATTTTCAGTGCTCCACAGCTCATCTAAAATGTGCTACCAGTAAAACACTTCTGAACTAAATTGAACCTGGTTACATAAGTCTGAATTTGTGCTCTGCAGAACTTCAGACTGGGGACAGCTTTGCTTCTCTGCCGTTTCATACCTCAAAACCAGCCTCTGACCAACTTTTCCAGATGGATATCACCATGTGTATCACTTCCGAATTTGGATCTGGAGTTAAATTTGGTGCTGAAGTGCAATTCCTCTATGTATTGAAGGGAAAGATTTCATGATACAACTTGCTGTTACCAGACAAGGCAGCCAAGAGACCTCCTAATCTCATTCCCACACATCTATCCTTACTATCACTCTTACACTGGCTCTCATCTTATTCCAAATTAGCTAGCTAATAGAGCTAAACCAGCAGGAAAGAAACGCTACAAAGTAGTAGCTGACTTAGCTCCATGACATGCCTCACTGCAAGGTCAGAAGGGCACCAGTGATGATGCAAAGAAGTAACAGGAACAGAACAAGTATAAAGGGATAGATACTGGCCTGCCTCTTTCAGAGGCAACAAGATACTGCACTGGCATAGCTCTATCAAAGCTCGAACTAGTGGGAGTGTCTTGCCAGAATGCAAGCCTGAAAGAATTATCCATGAAATATTGGATTAGTAATTCTTATACTAAATTGCCAAAAAAATTATCTTGTTCAAAGTTCACATACACCATCTTAAACTAACAAACAGAGAAATTAAGGTAACTAAAAAAGCTACTGTTTATCTACACTTTTCTACACTTGGCTACCTCTATATATTTAATTAGCCTTAAGTTATTAATATGTTTGAAACTTACACTGTCTGGCATAGTAAAATATGTATCAGTAAATCTGCAACACAACAGTGTTCTTTGACAGCCAATTCACATTTAAACTAAATGTGTACAATGGGATTTGTGTCACTGCAACAAAACAGTGGAGTGAAGTTGTAACATTTTTTTAGGTTCACTGAAATTCTGACCAAAACCCATAAATACTTAATGGTTGTTGTATGATTCCCCTGGACAAAAGAGCCTACCTGCCTCAACTGTGAAAGACAGGAAGGAGATCATTCCCATGTGTTGGAATGGTGACTTTTCCATGTTACGTCCACTGCCCCCTAGGTCAGATTGCAACGTCAAGGACTGTGTACAATTCTCAGGCAACTTCCCATCACAAAATTCTTAGCGTCATTTTTCTCCTGAAATTCCCTCCACACATTCAGGGTAATAATACTCAACCTGTAAGTGTCATTTGTGCTTTGCTTCTTAGAATAACAGTATCTATAAATATGATATGCTTACAGGTAGCTTTTATTTTTCTGATGTTCATAAGAATGATTTCAGGAATATCATATTCTGTTCTGCTAAAATGGGCTGAAGGGTTAAATGGTATTCTTGTATGGAGCTGAAATGGTATGGTTTAATAAGGTTAATTAAAATAAATAGATTTTTTTAATGCAGAAGAAAGAGACTGCATTATCTCTCTTTGACACTCCGTATTTACAGAGAGAAACACATCTCCCATATGTGCTGCATGGCTGACATCAAGCAAGGACCCCATGCACTTCCATCAAACTTTTGTGATTAATGAAACTGGTCATTTGCTCACCATGCATTCTACTACAGATTTCCTCTTAAGGAAAAAAATGGTCACAATTGGCCAATGTACAGTTGCAATGAACAAGTGAGGCTAATTTTAGAACATTCGTTAATAGTATAGTTTGGACGATCAGTGTAATCTCAGGAATTTTTATCCAGCTACAGACCTAAGCACTTTCAGTACTTCAATACTGCCAGAATAGTCACTCTATTACTCTTTGTTCAATCCAAGAAATAGAAAAGGTTGTGGGTTGTTTTTTTTTTAAATTAGTCTACATTTAACTGCCTGATCTACAAATTCAGTTTGGCTTTCTCCATTCTGGAGGTCTTTTAATTTTACCATAAGGATGGTTAAACACTGGAACAGGCTGCTCATTCAGAGAGGCTGTGGAGTCTCCATCCTTGGAAACAACCAAAACCCGACTGGACATGGTACCTGCTCCAGCTAATGTTGCTTTGAGTAGGTGAGATTGGAGTGGATAATTTCCAGAAGTTCCTTCCAGCTTCAACTATTCCATGATGAGGTTTAACAAGCCCAAGTCCAAGGTCCTGCACCTGGGTCAGAGCAACCCCTGGTACGAGTACAGGCTGGGGGATGACATGATTGAGAGCAGCCCTGCGGAGAAGGACTTGGGGGTGCTGGTGGATGACAGGCTAGACATGAGTCAGCAGTGTGCACTCGCAGCTCAGAAGGCCAACCGCATCCTGGGCTGCATCAAGAGAAGTGTGGCCAGCAGGTCGAGGGAGGCGATTCTGCCCCTCTACTCCACTCTGGTGAGAGCCCGTCTGGAGTATTGCATCCAGCTCTGGAGCCCTCAGCACAGGAGAGACATGGACCTGTTGGAGAAGGTCCAGAGGAGGGTAAGAAAAATGATCCAAGGGGTTTTTCAGCCTGGAGAAGAGAAGGTTTCAAGGTGACCTCATTGTGGCCTTCCAATACCTGAAGGGGGCCTATACGAGAGATGGGGACAGACTTTTTAGCAGGGTCTGCTGCGACAGGACAAGGGGTAATGGTTTTAAACTAAAAGAGGGTAGATTTAGACTTCACATAAGGAAAAAATTTTTTACAATGACGGTGGTGAAGCACTGGAACAGGTTGTCCAGAGAGGTGGTGGAAGCCCCATCCCTGGAGGCATTCAAGGTCAGGGTGGATGGGGCTCTGAGCAACCTTATCTAGTTGGAATGTCCCTGCTCACCACAGAGGGGCTGGACAAGATGACCTCTAAAGGTCCCTTCCAGCCCAAATGATTCTATGATTCTACGATTCTGTAACGGTGATGTATTTTCAGTAGAGGTAAATTCATAGCACCTGATCGCAAGAACATCAGACAGAGTGTTTGGAGGCATCTAAAGGGCCTCAAGATGCCCAGTTTTCTAGGTGTCAGCCAATATTGGATTGCAGATTGAGACTCCCTATGCTTCCTTTAGACTCTTAAAGAAAATGTTCCTTAATTGTCTGCCATGACTTAGAGTGTGCCTGACAATAAAGTCTCTATCTTAGTAAGAGACAGCAAAAAGTAGACCCCAGGAAACCTGAAGCAGAATCCACAATCTACATTGCAAAGCATTGCCAGAGAAAGTTCCTGTGGTCTCAACTTGTATAGCTCAATAGAATCAATCTCTTCTTATAAAAGTATATAATATATGGCAAAGTTGTAATTAACCTTCACAGAAAAAGTCTGAACAAAGGTAAAAGCACCTCTCCCCTTTTTGAAGCTGAAAAGAGGTTTCCTGTACCGTCTACACTGATCAACACAAAGAATAGTAGCCTAATTGAAATTAGAGGAGATGGACATCCCTGTCAAATTGACCCTACTGTCAGATGTGAAAGGAAAATGGGCTCTATATTACTTCATTAGTTCTATTCAGATTTCTGCACTGACACAAAATCACATGCAGTGGATGTTCCTAAAGATAAACTGTGATACAGCCTCTGTAACATACAGTCTTGTCACTGTGCTTTGACTGTATGCCCAGAAATAAATCTGAATTTAATTTACTTAAACTATGGGTTTGACATGGATCTAACACTCCAACAGTAATATTTTTCAGACTGATTCCCACAGAAAAAATCAATTTTACTGATTAAACATTGGGTACACAGACAAAATAATACCAGCCAATCTTAAGGGGCAAAAACTCAACAAGCATATAAATACAAAATACAGTAATCATCCTGAAAAAAATTCTAAAATTTAATTGAATTGCATGATACAAGTCAATTTAGGATAACCACAGGTCTATAATTCTTTGGCTGTGGATGGAACACAACAGCTTTATACTTTTCTCAAAGCCATATCCATAACTCTTTAAATACCTCAGTTATAACAAATGCACATATTTACTGAAGAATCAAGTAATTTAATAGTGACTGTTGTACAAATAATCTCAGAAGTTATTACAGAAAGTTTCATGATTTGGCCATATGACTACACAAACATCACAGAATGGGTTTCAAAATGTATAGAAAGCCTATTAATTACCAGCTGTGTATACAGCTCTACTAAATACCAAATTTTCTGCTTAGGCTGTCTAAGAAAGGTCTCATGAAGGGATGCACCTAAATTACATTCCTACCCTTTCCTAAATAAATTTAACGCTTTTCAGACACAAAGAAGCTTTTACCCCATGAAAACCCTATGCTACAGATCTGTAGTTACTATATACCCACTAACTTGTTTTAAAAGATCGAGAAGTAAATTACGATATAAATGGGAGAAAAACGAGGTTCAGTTATGAATTTTTCACATTTGTTGGTTTAACATTAAAGTAAACCCCACCCAATAAGAACTGCAACCAGTTTGCAGTTCCTGGTAAAAAGTGACACTTATTTTAAATGGATGAGCTATTTCATCATAATTTTATCATAATTTTGTGGAACTTAATGACAAATTCCACCTCTGCTATAACTAAGTTTCAATAGAAAGAGTTTCCAAAACCACCAAGAATAGACAGACTACAGTATGGCTCTTCCCCTCCTGTTTTGCTAACTGTTATACTAGAAGCAGTCCTACATTCCTGGCAGAACAGGATGCCTTTTGTTCATGACTTTTTCTTGCAGAAGTGCTTTTTATACCTATCCTGAACTTCTACTAAAGCCCCAAAATGCATCTCTCAAGAGGTAAAGTGTTCAGATATTACATCTATGCTCACACTATCAATTTGAGATATTTCCAAAGAACCAAGAAAAATGGGAACAACTGACAGTTCTGTTCTTTCCTAGCAATTACTTTACCACTGACAAAGCTTAAAGTTTCTCTTGCACTTTTGCCCCAAAGTTGGTATCAGCTGGGACTGCCATGTTAACTGTCCAGGCAGCCCTGGTCTCTGTGGAGCTGTAAGTTAATTTCCACCACTTTGAAGATCACAGTTCAGGCAGAATGTACAATACTGTCCCATGGATGCTTTACCATTCACATGCTGCTGTTTTTCATGGTTCCTGAAGACAACAGCACAGAAGTGGGGTTCAACTACAGCCCAAAATTAGTTGTCATCAGGGCATTTTGTGACTTATGCTCCAGGGACCGTGAGTAGTCTTAAGATGTCAGCTGTGCCCAGTGCTGAGACCTGCCCAATGATGGCAACATGAACCCTGCTGGTTTTAATAAAATTTTTTCATTAGTACATAGATAGCTTTAAAGAATGATGTCTTACCTTGGCGTATAAAAGTTTGACTGGTATCTAGTAATATATCACAGCCTTCTACTATTGTTCTTTCTATGGCTAGATTCTTCCGGATGTTTTCTGTGTCACTCACTTCATCATGCATCACCCTGTTAGACACAATACAAAATGCACTTTAGATTCCCTGAAATGTATCCTGCACCTGTTGTGTCTGGTTTCACTTGTACTTACACAGAATAGACACAGAAGGTAGCTGATGTCCTCTGCCACCTGCTACAAAACAGATGTATCCATGCAGTACATGATCATTCTAGAGTAAGTTTCTTGCCTTTTTCCCCACCTCTTTCAAATCATTCTTGCAACCATTTCGTTTTTTCAGCAGTGGAACCAATTTTGCCAGACTTGGTTTTAGACTATTCCTAAACACATCTGACAGATGTCACCAAGCTAAAAACCCTTCACAGCTGAAGGAATAATACTTCTTGACCCTTCATAGACTAGGCTGCCACAAACCTGGAAGTGCTTCCTAGCATTTTGTATCAGTTACAATACATCACAGAGTCCCTGCCCATGACTTAGGTTCCCACTCTCCTCTGCTTCAGTTTACATCTCAATGTACCCTTCACTTCCCCCTTGCTTCCTGTAACAACCACGGTCTTGATGGCTCACTGCTTACTTTCTTCCACTTTTTTTCATAGGTATCCTCCCCTTACACAGAGAAATACAGTTTTTTTCAAGGCTGAAACTAGCCCAGAAGTTTACATGGTGTTGTGATGTATAATATTTTCCTAAACTGGGACCATACTGCACTATCTGAACGCTTGTCATCCCTCAGAACTACATTAACGGGATGGAAATGAGTCATAAAGTTTTATATTTATGGTCGATACTGCCTGCCTTATGAGCAGAAGAGGATCAATCAGTCTTAGCCTCCAATTCTGAACGTTTGGTGATGAATTAGTTGGTTCAGCAATGAACTCTGACTTATGAGATGAAGCCAAGTCAAAGCTGATTGATCTGCTTCTGCACATAACCCTGGTCAGAGAAATTTTCTGCTTTGCTTGAGTGGAAAGGAGACATTACTTCTTTTTGCTTCAGATGGCCTCAGAACAGGGCAGAACTGGCTGGACACTGCAGGCATCAAACACAGACATTTCTGTAAAAGATATTGCCTGCCCAGCTCTTTAAGAAGCTAAAGCTTGAAGAGGTGGCACAACATGATATGACTCAGAAAGCTGCCTCTGTTAAAGATACACAGGATATAAAGGAAAAAAATAGTAAGCTCCAAATTAACAGGTAGTTGTGCACAAGGTAGCAACTTTGTCTTAACAGAGAAACCGAGGAGTCAGGAACACGCAATTAACAAAAGCTATAAAGCCATCCCTCTTTTACAACTAAACATTCTCCAAGTACATCTTCGGTGAATACTCCAGATACTCAAGCTTTATATCCTGGAGTTCATGTAGCATTCCTTTCTTCACAGCAGAAAATCTGTTTCCCAGAGATAACAACCAAATTTGTCACTGGGTTGACAGAGGGGAACACCTGAGAATGGTCTGAGAGTTCAGGGAAGATCTTCATTTTGCAGGTGTCTGCAGGGAGCATCAGTTCTTAAAATACATCCTTAGTTCCTGTTTATCTGGCACTATTTGAAGCATATGTGAAATCAGTTATTTCATTAAAGCATGAAAACTGTAATATAGATTGAGAACTCAGCACTTTTCAAGACCCTGATTGATTCCTGTTGTCATAGAGTATTGGAAATGCCCTTTTTCTTTAAATTGTGAAAAAAATATATAGTCCTCTATGTAAAGAAAATTGCTTTGCTCATAAGTCAGGAGTAGGTGGTTCCTATAGCAACTCCTGTTCTTCCCTACCCAAAATACAAGGAGACACTTGTAGATTCATGTTAGTAAAAAAAAAACAGAAGAGTCAAAAATATTAGGTTGGGGTATTTTTGGTTTTTGGGTTTTATTTCATTATTGTAATTTTGGTTTGGTTTTGATCCTTTTCTTCAAAGAATTTAAAAAAAAAAAAAAAAAGTCAAACCAAAATGAAGAAAACAGATTTTTCGTTTCAAAACCTTTGATTCAAGATTATCAAATATAAGGATTATCAAACACAAGGTAGAAAAACCTTACCTTGAAAGTTCTTCTAGTTTAGATTTAGCAAATTCAAGGCTTTTTCGTTCAACATGTTCATGTGGTGTGTGCGCCAGAAGTTCATGAAGCGTTATAATATATCTAGGAATCTTAAAATAAATTAGGTATAAAATCAGTAAATACTCAAAGGAATAGTATCAATACAGCTTTTTGTCCAATATTAGCCATTAGGTTGGTCACAAAAGTTTCGCAAACGTAGTCTTTTTTACATGAATATTGACAGCTAAATGATTATATATACATTCTAAATATAACTACTGTCAAAAATGCTGAACTTTTGGGTGGCAGAGACTGTATACACATATGTATGTTTTCAGTTTGAGGAAGCACAAGACCCATTTATTACATTTTAAGGAAAAGATCAGATCAGAGGCAGCCACAAATATGACATTAAATTTCATTGTTTCATGCTGCTATCCAATTAACAATAGAGAAAACTTCCAAAACTCCCTAGGAGATCCATATATACCTTCCCTCAATTTTAATAGGATATGTGCACCTAAATTTCTCGTGAATTTGAAAATGCCAGCTGACCTGTTTGCATTTAGATAAAATTCATATTGCACTAATGCACATTGAAGAATATGCAGTATTTGACTATTAAAGGCCACAGGATAGCACAAAGACCCTGATCCATTTATTACTACTTAAAGCAGTTTCAGGGCTTTTAACCAGAACCAAGTGATACTGCAGTACAACTTATCTTTAGAGAATAAAAGTTATTTAGGAGAAGGAGACATGACTTATTATTTTGAAACAAAAAGTCATCAGCAATTACATCCTCCATCACATATGAATAGGACCCTCTCTCTGCCTTCCAAGATCCCATGACCTTGTTTCAGCTCAACCAAAAAAATCCCCAAACTTTACAACATACAAGTTCAAAGATTAAAAAAAGTGTTGTTACAGGTGCTAATGGCCCTTTAGGCTAATATGAATAACTAGCACTAACACAAGTGTTACTGACAGCACTTTTTTTTTTCTCTACTTGGTTTGCCAGTAACTGAACAAATCAAGGGGTTCACTGTTCTCTGGATGAGTAAAATGTTAGGTTAAATGTAAAAGACTCAAAATCATCAGACCAGTGCTTCATAGACTTCTTAGAACAGCCGCAAATAACTAATCCAGGCAGATCAAGACAAAATATCAGAAGGACAAAAAAAATTTGCAATGTATTTTTCATTTTCTAAAGACCAAGTCACTGGAGAACAAAGTGGGAGGAAAGTTTCAAAAGGTATTCCTAGTATAACACTTGTGGCTGCTCTAACTTGCTATACCAGGTATATTATCCCTCTCTGGACTGCTTCATAATCCTGGAGCAGGCAGAAGTCAAGTAATTGTTTCTCAGCTTTTTTTCTTTTGACACTAGCCCTCATCCTACATCCTCCCTCAATCTACATAAGATTCTGAATACAGATGAATCAGTACAGTTGGAGAAAAGATCTCTACAGGCAGAGTTTCAGTATAATAATGAAATAAATGAAATCTAAATAAATTTGCATAAGAGTATTTTTAGTTAAGCAAGAAGAATCTTCAATCATAATGTCAGTAACACAAAATGAATCAACCAAATATTAAAACCAAAAAATATACAGAGACTACCTGAAACATGGGGTAAGTAAGGAAAGTTTCCAGCATTCGCCCCTCACATGCTGGGTTGGCTTCATATTGCTTCAAGAGTTTGTCAAAATCTCTGTTTTGCTTACAGTTTGCCAGTACTTGTAGACTATACTGATGATTCCGAACAAATTCTTGATATATGTTCAGCATTGGCAGCAGAATGTCAAATAAGTCAGCTAGAAAAAGTCAAGAAATGCTTTTTTTTTCCAGCCACCCATCTCTTGAAATATATTTCTAAAGAAACTACTATGTACTATGGAAGTGAATTACTATAATCCATTCTGTTTTCATACTGAGATTTTAGAAACATTAAACTCAGTTCTTTCACCAAGCAAAACATGGTTGCTTTGATTAGCTAATAATCAGACAATATCACTGAAAATTCAGGGGTCCTTTTCTCATCAATCCTTAGGGCAGAAGCATTCTCATACACGGACTGGAAGACAGTCATTACTGCCCACGTGGGATTCCCACTACACTAGATCTTGTAGTGTCAGTTCTGGAAATGCATTCCATTCAAAAAGAACTTTAAAAAAGTCCTGTCTTCTTTAAAATTTTTTTTAAAAAAGACCTTACTGTAATTTCAAAAGTAAGTATGGCATTTGTACCCCTACAGAAAATACAGTAACTTACCTAGGATTAAGGTAGGCCAATTAGCTATTCTTGCTTTTAAGCCTTGGTGAAATATCTCATGAAGAAACATGATTGTTTCACTGAAAAACAAGTATTTAAACAAACAAAAAGACAATTCAGGCTTTATTTCCTGACAAATAATTCACAGAGCAACATCTCTTCCTGGTTAGTAGTATGTTTTGCACTTTGCTAGAAAAAAAACAGAAGATAGTTATTATTATGGAAGTAAATGCTTCCTTTTATTGCATTGTTTAAAATTTTTAGTATTGTAGGTCTAAAAAATACATAGTATTCAGTGTAGAAAGTATGTTCTAACTGTTTAGGTCTTTTAAATAAAAGCATCTATTAAATAATATGTTCCACACAGTTTAATGAATAGGTTTTCCAAGAATATCCTTGACAACATATTCAATAGTTTAAGAGGACCAGTAAGATGCAGAAACCTCAAGCCAGTGGTAGTCATGTATACTCTCGCTTGCTGCTGTAAGATTTGAAGCTTACAACTTTTCTATAACATGAACCTTAATATTGTATTTTAGCATATGAGGTTAACAGAAATAGGGGACACCACAGTTTGTAAGAGAAACCACAAAGAGTACAGTGATTATGAATGAGCTATGAAAGGGAAATCTGTCTCATAACTAAAGGAACATGTTTTATTTCTTAGAAGTCTGGTGCAGACTTGGATGCAATCTCAATCCTGTATAAAATGTTAGATGCCTACTGGCTTATTTGTACATACTCATTACAACAGTACTTGGATGCTTAATGCAAAGAACAATTCTTTTTTTGTAGGATATGAAAACACAAGTGAGAGGGAAGGAGGCTCCTTAGGCAGGACAAGAGAAAATAGAAGATTTGACGTACTCATCCTCAGGGTCTTATCTGGATGAGAGGCCACTAAGTCCAATTTTGCTTTCTTTAAGAGAAAAAGAAACAGGAAAGGTGACAGAAAATTACAAGAACCGCCCCAAGAGGCACGATTTGTCATTTTCTTCCACTAGCAGAGGAAGAAATAGAATGGAAGGAGGCAAAGAGGTATAGCCAGTTTCAAACAGCGTCACCAACAGCACCTTGCCTTTAACCCCTGGAAATATGGTCTACTTCAGCGACATTACTTATATCAGAGCAAAAAAACAAGTGCCAGATCTCACTATTGTAAACTGAAGCAAAATAGGAAGAAGCAGGAAGAGAAACCCCCCAAAAGCAAATAAAAAAACCCCATACCTGTTGAGGAAAATGCTACTAACATCATCGTGACTGATAGGTGGTTTCTTTGAACTTGCAGCCATTCTTAAGGGCCGCAGAAAACAGTTCACAAGAACGTAAAGTTGATGCACATATTCAGATTCAGCCTCCACCATGTTAAAAACTATCTGATTCCTTTTTCTCATACTTTCTGCATGGGGAGAACAAATATAATCTTGGACAATAGTTTTCCACTTTCTTCTACATAACCAGCCCCGCATAAAGCTCTGGACCTAAAAATAGACCAAGCAGAAAAGAAGAATGAGAAAAAACATTATACAACTTATCACAAGCTCCTCATTGTAGAAGTAACCCTCTAAATGAAATACCTCTGTTCAAAAAAAAAAAAAAAAAAAAGTCTGTTGCCCTTATTGATCTATAATTGTTGCTGAATTATATATTTTCTTTAGGTTTCTGCTTGTTAATGAAATTCCTACAACAACTTGGTCATATTTGTTGCCAGGAAACAGACTGAAAAGATACATACATATCAAGGTACCTTTTACTGCAAGCTCAAATGTTGTACCTTTGTATATACACTTCTTATCAGAACAACTGTGCTATGCACTGTGTAGGTTTTTTAATTCCTTTTACCTCCCATTACACATTTCTCTTGTACCCCCAAAAAGTATTGTGCAACACTTCCAGCTAACACATTTCAAGACAGACTCAATATCATTATTGACATAATTCTAAAAGAGCTGTTAAACTCAGTTTGCTTTCTGTTTTGAATAGATACCACCTAGCATGGGCATTTAAAGCTAAGTATCAGACACCTAGGCCAGCAATACTATTACCTAGAAAAAGCAGATTCTTAAAAAGTATTTCTATGTCATGGAAAAATCTACTTGAGTGTAATATCCATTGAAGTTACAAGTGGATTAAAGATTAAAGAAAAGGTCTACATCTGGTCACAGAAAATTTCAGTACATCTTTGCCCTGATCTTGATATGGAGATCATTCATCTCAAGAGAGAAATGCAAAATCTCACTGGCAGCAGTCGACTCTGAATAAACAATTTTAAAAAAATGGCCCAATTGTCACAACAATCAAGATGTAGAATGCAGTGAATTATATACAGAATCAGAGCTCTCCTTCTACTAGAAGAGACACTTCCAGCTTCTATTACAGTGTTTAATCTACATGAAAAGGAAAATTCACACAAGGATACCGGCTCAGTGATGACCCTGACTCAGACTGCGTGACCCAGAAAAAGTCAGAAACTAAGTCCACATACCATAAAGGGTATTATGCAATTTAAGAGACTGAACACTGTGAGAATAAGGGTGACACATATGGGACCATACCTTCAAGCATGAATTCCATTCATGTTCATGCACTAGGATTTGCGGGAGTCAGCGATGGGCACAGTTCTGGACACTAGTTATTATCTAACCTTGAGCAATATTACCAGAAGCTGCACATGTAAATGTCATACAGATTGGGACAATTCTGTCCCTGTTATTAAAAACACTGGCCGTGGTATCCTGGAACAATCACCATCAAACAGACCGGCTGACAACCTAAACCAAGACTGCTCTCTGCATTTTTAGTATTTGTATTCCAGCTGCATTGACAGAATACAAGTCCTTCTCTCATATCTTTATAAGATTTTTATAAGAAAAGAGTATAAAGTCACTATACACTTGACTCCCACAGGACATAGCCCATGACTTAATTTTAATCTTTACACGCACTTGAATGCAATGTGCAAGCTCCTTTAAGAAACTGATTATATACCTTGCAAGTAAAAATGAATACTTAAGTAACAAATACACTGAAACTGATGTAATTTAAGAGGTTTAAGTAGGGGAAGGGCAAAAGGAATCTTGCTGTTTGACTATACTTAATGAAAATAAATGAAGACAAAACTAGACAGACTAAAATACAGAAGCACACACCCCATCCTACCCTTCTCCCCTTGCACAGAAGACTGCATGTTTACCTTTTTAATTTTTTTAATATCTGGGTCCTCGTCTTCCTGGTTGCTTTGATAAGGTCGCATTCTTTCTTTAGTTTTATTGAGAGCTATAATCTGACAAAAACAACCATTCATTAAATGCTTTCTCAAGTTAATGAAACTCTTAGTTACAGAACTAACAGAAAAATATTTTCTCCTTCTTCACACCTGTTAAAGCTGCACAGAATGACAATGAAGTATTTGGTCACAAGGCCATGAACACAGTTCTCTGAAAACCAGTAAAGCTCTTGATCCAGATGGAGGAAGAACCAGAAGAGAGCTGGTTCTTCTCTCAAAACCAAGCATGCCTTTCAGGCAATATCAGCAATAAAATTTTTAATGTTCAGAGAAACAGAGCAGTTTGGAATAGTTCTCAATAATGTCACAACCAAAGACAAACTGTCAAGGACCAAATTCCTCACGTGAAGACAGGTAGGAAATAATGCAATCAATGGCATCCATACTGCAAAGCAATGTGTCATCTCAAAGTCTCTGACAAAGACATAATCCAATCAGTTTAACAGCCCCCAATATTTGTAAGAAAAATATTTAGCCAAGGGTTCATAGGGGGACTATTACATATTAACTTTACAGGGTTCTGCTATTTTCACAAATACCACAGAAATATTGAATATTATTGCAATGCATACAGCAAAATGTTACAATTCAATGACTGCTTGATGGCTCTGGCACATACCTCAGATTTAAGTCTTTCAATTTCTGTGTCTTGATCTTCAAGCTGATGTCGAAGCTGATTCGCTGCAATCTTTTCAGTCTCTACAATCTGGATGAGATGAATGTACTTCTGCATTAACACCTCCCTTTCAATCAGAATATCTGAATAACTAAAAGGGAAAACATTTATGTTAGTAAAAATAGCCAAACAGTGTCTTCTATATCCCCTTATGAGATATTGACAGAATAAACATTGCATCAATGACAAGAAATCTGCAAAACTGTGTTTGTTTCGCTTAATATATAATGAATAGCTCGATCATAAATCATCCAAACTTGCAGTGTTCCATATTCTCTTGAGATATAGGCACTAGCAGTACTCATTTTACCAGTACTCAGTTACTGAGAGCAAGATAATTGCACTGATCTTTTTATGAGCTTCTAATTCCCAGGCTAAGCCCAAGAACTCTATTCATTCAATTTATTTTATTTTTTATAAGGGGTGGTTTTTTTCCAACTTTTAGGAGGACTTGGGGGGAGCATCTGGCACTTCATTAGAACTATTTCTAATTCTTTCCACCGGTCAGATTGCCTTATGGAAGAATTCCCATCATAACTGTTATTTTAGTTTGCTAACACCTATCTTATTGTTTCGGCTAGTTTGAGATTACTGAAATAAAAGCATTTATTCCAATTAGCAACAGGAACTATGGTATCAATCTTTCTTTTAGCTCTTGGGCAGCAAACTGCCACTGATTTGTATTTTCCTGAAAAGGGACAGTATCCCTGGTGCAATTAGACGTCACAATCAGAGCAGGGACAAGCATCATACTGGAAGTACTATTCCCAGCTTCAGGTAAAGGAGAAATCAATTTCTTGCTATGCAACATCTTCAACAGAATGTTGTTTCATGTGATTCAGTCTCTCTCACATAGATAATTTAAATGTGCAGAAAATTCACAGTCCTATGACATGCTTGTTTGCTGGCCTTGATTCAGCTGCCTCTTTATCCAGGTTTCAGGAAGCTTGTTCCTCTGAGAATTAAATAATTTTACTAGATAAACACCAAACTGCACAAAACACAGCAGAACAAAGCCCTAAATCTTTGACAAGGGATGTCTTACTGTTTTATGATCCATCATTGGAAATTCTTACTATCATAATTTTATCCACTGTCAAGTTAGCACAATATTTGATAGAAGGAATTTTTGGATTGTACATGTTTTCCTCCGAAATTTCTTGCTACTTGTTATAGCACTCATTAAAAAAGTGAACATTTGCTATCGAACACTGTGAGGCTTTTAAAAATGCAGTAACATGCACCCTTTCCAATTAATCTTTTTTTTATATATATTTACTGCCATTTCAATCAGTATTAGTGCAGTCATATACTGGAGGTGGGCAATATTGCGTATAGCTATTAAATTCAACACCTAACCTGAAAAGCAAGCTTAGGTTTCAAATAATTAAAATGAGTTCCCAGAGCTATCATAAAGCAAAGGTTTCTCCTCATTGAATAGATTATAAAAATAATAAGAATTTAATTTAATTCTATTGCATTTATTGTTATACGTTAACTACTGCAATAGTAAACAATAAATGGCAAAAACAAAGCTCAAGGCATCTTTTCCAACAAGTAAAACAATATACATAAAAAATCTGTCATGACGCAATCCATATATCTTAACTGTGCAATAAACAGTAATAAAGTATGAGATTTAGCTCTTTAAAATTGTTTAATAATAACCTTTTTTGTTTTGCAAGAATCCTGTTTTTTCAGAAACCATAGCACTCAATCTCTTCACACCCTAAAAGGTATTTGCACATGATAAAAAGTGTCTGAGTTAGAAATACAGTCAGCACTAGTAGTTTTACAATTATGATAGAAGTTACCAAGATAAAAATGTATGTAACACATGTAAGGAAATGCATTCCTTAGTGCCTGCACCACCACCTTGATTTATATTTAATATAAAGAGTACCCAAACCACTTCAGTTGTCGAATGGACTTTACGGTTAGACTTGATGATCTTTGAGGTCTCTTCCAACCATAACGATTCTATGATTCTGTGGCTTACTCTAGGAACATGGGTGTGTGGGGAGGGGAATGCTACCCTCTTGAGCAAGAATGAGACAATCCTGAAAACACATCTCATTAGCCAATGTGTTACTCATCAGACTCACAATTCATACTAAAACCAGCTGTTTCCATTGCCCTGGCACTCCTTTATCCAGGAAAATTTGACTATAGGAATTCATCCACAAACAAACTGGAGCAGAAAGGCATCTTACCCCATAATGCAAAACTTAGAATTCAACAGCAGCCATGAAGTCCAGACCAAACGCAAGGGAAGGGACACTCCTCAGTGCGTGAGCTGAGGCTTTACAGAGCTGTTATGAACTTGTAGCTACTACATCCAGAGAGTGTGACTGGTGGTATTTCAAATGTTCCCTTAGAAAACAACTACCACACCTATCTCCTGGACAGCCATAATTACCAGTATAACCATCACTGCTATTGAAGTTTTGTGTCTAAGCTATCTAAAGTGCTGTCTGCCAAGACCTACAAGTCCCCGTGAGGGGCTTAAGGAGCCCTTTGCAGCAGCACTGAGATGTCTGCTCCAGGAACACAGCCCTTCTAGGGGATAAAACACATTTCTGTGAAGTGCTGTGCAAGGAGCACAGGAGGTACGGTCACCTCTGGGAGGCAATGATAGGGTGTGTGATAAAAGGCTGATCTTAACCCAGAGAAGGGAGCACAGAGGAACAATGGTAGCTACTGTAACCCAAATAATCCAACTGAGAGAAGCGAGCCCCCTGACCTGGCTGCTGCAAAGGCTATCACAAGATCAGCCCGTGAAAGGTCCATCTCCACAAACAGGAAGGGTCACAATGCCAGGTGTGGAACACCAATAACCCAGTCAGAGAAACAAGGCCCCTTGCTCATCCCAGCTCATCCCAGGACTGTGACACAAGAGCCACCACCTTCATCAGCCACCGGGTCAAACCCCTCAAGATGAGTCAGTGGAAAGGCTCTCCAGATCACTTTTCAGCCTGAGAAGGGTTACCAAACCGAGGGGTGTGTAATTTATTATAGGACACAGGGAAGAGTATTTTGGGATTGTACAAGGCTTGTTACAGAATGTTTAAGGGAGGAATCAAAGGCAGGAAAAGGGAGGGATCAAAGAGGTTCGATGAGGAGCAAGCTTGGGAAAACAGAGATAAGGGCATAAAAGGGGATAAAAGGTTACATGTAACCAGGTTGATCAGTACACTTGTCTGACCATGCTCTGCACCTATCAGCACAGCCCATCCTCTCTTCTCATTAAACTCCCTTTCTGACTACTCTCCTTGGTGAGGGGACTCCGTATATGCATCCATGGATCTCTAAGTGCCAGTTACTGCAGCTGGGACCCAGGGGCCATAGGTCCCTGTGTGTCTGCAGTGCCAGTAACTCACTGGAGAGGCAGGAGGGTGTGCATATGGTTTGGGTGTGTATATCAGTGTGTCATCACCAGCCACTGCCAAGCCTGGCTAGCTGGTAAGTAGGATTAGTTGCTGGGAAGCCATGTGTTGAAGATGCAGTAAGTCTAGGCTGGATCATCAGAGACTGTGATTTGGCTACTGGAGGGCACAGGAGATCCAACTCAGTTACCTGGAAGACCATGAGGTTGGGTGGTTGACTGAGAAACTCATTTGCACATGTGTGTGACAGCTGCAGATGAGAACATCCAAGGACTAGTTCCCACATAAATTGAGTGTGCAAGGCAGTTACGGGAGAGATCTGTAGTGTTTGGGTCTCTACATGTGTTCATGTGTGCAGAGTTGGGGGGACCTGTGCAGCAGCTAATGGGGGATCCACAGTGCATATGTGTGTGTGTGGTGTGGGGGTGTGAGGTAACTGGAAGTACATGGGGTCCAGGGCCAATTACTGGGGCAGACTAAGTGTCTTAGACCAGTTACTGAGGGATCCACAATGTGCTGGGAAGGGAGGGGGTGCATGCGTATCTGTGAGTGATGGGGACTGAGTACCAGCAATTGGAGAGGGTCTGCGGGCACGGGGGGCTTGTACTTCCAAGGTGTCAGCAGCTAGGGAGACGGAGGATACAGAATCAGCTCCTGGACAGACTGCATGGCTAGGCTATATACTGGGGGGACCCGTACTGTATATATATGTATTGTATGTATTTTTCGACTAATTTATCTTCATCCTAATCAGCCAAAGAGGGGAACAGGATAAGGCTGCTGGTGTTGTCTGTGCCCATATGAGTGTTGAATGTTTCTGTCTGTGTTGATCCGTGTGGCCAGCTGTGTTTGTATGTATGTATGTGTATTTGCATTGGAATTACATGCTCAGGCTCACTTCAGGTTCAACCTGGGTATAGGGTGCAGTGGCAGCCTCACCCCTATCAAGCTACTGGCTCTGGCAATCCCTACCACTTTGTTCTGTGGATCGCGCTAGACGTTATTTGGAAGGCAGATATGAGATTCCTTTGCCTATGTCTTAGGCATTACCCAAATTCCCTCTCATTCCCAGCCAACTGGAAACTACAAAATTGTGGTTATTATAGCATCAAGCCTCAGCTAATGCAGTTTCTCCAACAGCAAGGCATTAGTAGCAAGGCATTTGCTCCAAGCTTCCAGGCAGCTCTGAGCTACCATGCTGAGCTTACAACTGCCTAAAAAATACTATGTGAAATACACTCTGCATTAGCAAGTGAAGTGTGCCAACAAATCTGAGAGCAAGCCTTTTTTTTTTTTTAAATTGCCAGTTGGAGGGCAGTAGTTCCTCATACGCTTTAAACAGCGACCTAGCTGAAAGAAGCACTCCTACTTTACCACCCGCGTAGCACTTGTGCTCTCCCACATCCTACCCAAGCACTTCCCTCTCCGCTGTGCAGTGAACACAGTTGGGTTGCATGGATATGCAGTGAACAGATCCAGAGGACTGAGACAGATTAAAAGTAAACTGGCAAAAAATAAAAAAAATCTTAATTCTTTTTAGTGCAAATCAGTTTCCCAATTACATTCACACTTGTGCCCACAGGAGAGAAGGGTTGGTAAAGGTGTAGGAATGAACGGTTGACTTATGAGAATGCCAGCTGCTTCCTTCAGCAGCAATGCGGGCTTATGCAGGACTAAAGCATACATGAAACTACAGCCCAAAGCACTTAATTTAAGACCTTCCAATAAGCTAAAGTTGAAAAGGTTGAGAAATTTGATGAGTACTGCATCCACCTAAAAAAAAGAAGTATAAAAGTTTTTGAGTTAAATGCAAAGAAAAAAAAAAATTTAAGAAAGGGTAGAAAGTCCACCTCAGTGTATTGAGACTTAAACAGATTTTTTCATAAGAGACCAAGTTCTGGAACAAAGCCCAAAACAGGACTTCCACATGCAGTCACTGATGGAGGAATTAGAATTTGCCAGGAATAAAGTCTCCAGCCCAGAAACGTAACTCAGAAGAAGCAAACCTTACTTTGCCACCCTGGATATTACCGAGAAATCAAATATAGTGAAAAGAGATGAAAAGTAGGTATGCATGTGGAGCTCATAATGGCATCCCATTAAAATACACTGAATTGCACCTTTCATTGCAAGCTCACAAGCCAAACAATCTCTTTCAAATGAGGAGAGGGCACTATGGACAGGCACATAAGCAATGCAGCATTTGGCTGCAGCATGCAGAAGCCTGTCAGCTCTCAAAAAGTGTGCTCTCCAAATGATAAGCAGTAGCATCCCACCCACCGTGACATCTTCCAAGAAACAATGGACAATGCCACAGCAGAAAAGCCTTTCATTATGAATTTGCATCCAAATAAAATACCTATTTATCCAGTGGGACATGGGGTGCAGTAAGATTGTGTTATTTTTCAGCAGTCTGTTTATAACTTGCAAAATAAATAAAACATGGAAGAGATTTTGATGGCTGCAAACACGTATTTGGCAAAAAGTCACAAAAAGCAATCCAAAACTAGGTTTTCTATACGTCAATCTAAGAAAAGCAAAAAAAGAAAAAGGAAAAAATAAAAAAAAACCAACTACTTTGTCTCAGTTAAAGCATGGATTACCATAGCTACTCATGAGGATGAGACCCTCCAGAAAGCAATTAAATATTTCCATCTCACAAATGCCAACATATTCACACAGAACAGGATGTTCCCAGGCCTGTTTTCAATTTAAGGGTAAGGGGAGTGCTCTCAATTCCTCCTAGAATTTTTACCTAAGACACCTGAGATACTACAAAAAACTATCTTCAAAGGGTTACATAAAACATCATTCAGCAATTCAAAACAAAAACCTGAGGGAAGGGTCAGAAATGACATTTGAGGCTAGCCTCAAATGAACAGTGATGCTGAAGAAGTTGCCAAAGCTTGTCCCATTTGTCAAAAATCCAGATGAACTCAAGGAAAAAAGTCTAAAACATGATGCAGGCAAAATTTAATCCCTGAAGTAAATCTGTTCTATTTTATTTAATGAAGTTGGCAAGAAAAACTTTATGCAATAGTCTAAAATAATTATTTTCACCTCTTTTGTTACGTATCTTTGGTAAAAGAGCTAATGGTTAAATAACTAATTATGCAACTCCAAGTTGTTTTGCTAGACACAATGTAAAGCAAACGCAGCTTTCAGTGAAGTAGAGAAGCATCAGAACAATGAGTTAACCACAGTACCATACAACATTCCATGTTTAACAACTAAATTTCAGAATTTTTTTTTGTCACTTGTTGATATTTTGTTCAAGAAAAGAACATTAGAACAAGAAAAGCCATGTCCCAGTCCCTGGAAAATTTCCCCAAGAAACTTAGAGACCTAGGCAGAAAAGTTAGATTAAGAACATCCCCCAGACGACATAGGGCCCTGAGAATATCCCTCACAGTGGTGTCCATAGTTCAACATTATTAGGACTGTCATTTCAGATAGGCACAAGTAAAGGGGGAAAAGTCAAATAGCAAAAGGGAGAGAGAAAAAAAAGACTGACCTTGCTTACAACAGAGACTCAGTTGTTTTCTGAAGGCTGCAGGGACAACTTTCTGGTGGAGTCAAAATTCAACCACCCTGACCTTGAACCTCACAACTAACTTCTTCTTAGCAAGCTTAAGTTCCCAATATTTTTAACTGCATATTGTTTAAGATTGGCTTAATTTTCTGTTAAGTTCTGCCTTGAAAATTCATATGTGATACATTTATGGAATGAACTACGCAGAGAGAAATTTTAACTCAGCATTATGAAGCTCTTTTTGCTTGCATGCCTTTTACAACAGGCAACGGACAGGGAGAAAATTATCATGTGAACAGGGAACTGTAGGATCCTCCTTCCCCTGAATGTCCTTACCACAAGGCAAAAAGCCATGCTCCTTTCTTTATTTGCTTTCAGCAGTAGTCCACAAAAGAAACTGACCCAGATCCAGAGACAAGGTGAAGACCTCCCTCCTCTCCTCCTCCCTCAATAATACCGGACTGCCTGCTGGTGAACATGCTCTCCTGGGATGGGCTAAGAGTTCAAAGCCTCAGAGCTTCTCAAGTCCTGCAATAATGTGTTCACCCAGTGGGCTACCATGCAAAATGTGGTTCACCTAATACCACAACCCAGCAGGTGCTTTCCAAGAAATGATGACCCTGTTCAGACCACCAACACTAAGAAGAGGATGCAGATCCAAAGGCTGGATGCCTAGGCACCACAAGACCTGCAGCTTCAGGGCTTCATTTCACAAGTTCTGAAATAAAAACTACTAGCTGGTAGTGTTAATTTTTAGTTACATAGCAAAATCACTTCTGTTTACATGGCTCATGTCCTGAGCAACTCAGAAACTGCCTGGTTCCTTGTGCGTTACCATGGCACTGCAGATTAGCTGAGGTGAGTGTCTGAGAGGAGGCTGGAGAAAGTGCATTTCACCAAAGACATTTGCCTCTGCAAACCATTTCACAAACCTTCAGTGAGATGATTTTAATTTAGATTATAGTATAAACCTTCCCATTTGCCACGCAGACCTTTTCTCAGGGAAAGATTACTGCATGGCTGGAAGTCCTACCATGTCTCTTTTCACAAGACTGATTGCTGTTCAGGACTTCAGTTTTGAAGTCGAAATTTTATTTGTTGCGCTTTATCGTCATAAAGGTTTGACCTCCTCTTTCTTACATTTATTCCTATCTAAAAGCTTTTAAAGAAACACTTATTTATTCATTTGGTATATCACTTATTTCTTCATTCATATAACACACTTTGCCTCTAACAGAGGACTAATCATAGCAATTGTTTTCAATAAAAGAGTATTCTGCTTGAACTAATTTCAGTGGGAACACAATCACTTGTGAATGATAGAATACAGTGATATAAGTATGAATGATATAGGCATTTTTTCCTATAACGTACCCATGAATTGCAAGTAATACACATTTAATACACTGTAACACTTATTTCTGGTTAGAGAGTGAATTTAGATTTTCAAATTATTGTCAATCTATTTACAGCAAAAAGGAGCTGAGGATTAAAAATCAGGTTTCATACCTAGCTTGGTGAATAGCTTCTACCCATTCATCTCCATCAACTTCATCCTCGCAACGCAGCTCTAGTGGCTTCTGCCCTTCATGGCCAAAAAGAACAGTAAAATAATGCTGCAAATTAGAACAAGAAAAACATGTTCAGAAACTTTTTTAAATAAAATAGATATACATAAAAGTGAAAAAAAAAAATCTGACGTTTTAAACACACCTAAAGCATTGCCAGCCTAGGAAGCTATGTTTTAAGCTATTAGTCATGAACCATGGATTGAAGTTGAAACTGTATCCATAACATATTCCCCTGTGTATCAAGGTAATAGCTTTCATGATACGTATCATAAGTTATTGTTCTTAAGCTCCCACATCCAAGACAACAGAACATAATTCCCTCAGCAGCTTCTACAGTTGAATACAATAGTGTGACTGTAGTGGACTCTCTGTAGTTTTTTTTCCCTTGCACTTTTTCACCAAAAATTTTTCTTAGATGCCAGCACAGGGTACCAAATCTGGAATTGCCACCACTTCCTCATAAGAACACGGATTGTGCACAGACCCTAGCTTATTTCCTAACCTTTCAAAAAGAACAAAGAAAGTGTCCCTTCTCATTCAACACACTCCCAAAACATTTTTGCCCTTCTTTCAAAAAGCTTCTCCCATAATTGTCATTGCAACAACTTTGTGTTTTCACAAGAAAATGTTATTCACACAAGAAGTGTCATATTCTTCAATGGCATTTCTTACATGAAGGACATTGCCCATAGTATGTTCCACAGAACACAGAATTTCAGGAAAGATTTTGCTACTTTCAGAACGTAGTAAAAATAGTAATATCCAGTGGGAAGGGGAGAACTCCCAGTCACCTGCCTTAAAACCCATTTCACTAGGTTGGTCATTTACAACATAATTTTGCATAGCTTGCATACTAACTCACAGCTAAGCAGCAAACAAAATTCTTCCAACTTAGCTGATAACAGGTGAGCAAATACTCTACCTAAACACACACCTGTAATTTCCATAGGTGCCTTAAATGCACCCATTAGTAAGACAGCTGTTTCACAGGAAGAGGGACCAGTGAGGGAGCTGCCCACACATAAAACCATCCGGTTATTAAGTCTGATGTGACTTAGGAGCTCTTATAGCTACACATCTGCACCAGATCACTCAGTTCTCTTCATCACCTAGAACTTCCCAACCTCTCTTCCATTTTCATCCCAGTTAACAGGGAACCGAGTATAAGCACATGTGGCAGCAATTACTTTCTGGGGTCTAACAGCAAATTCCAAATTCACTCCAGTCAGCAAGTGAGGTACATAATTTGCATTCTCCCACACCACTAGCCATTGTTTACAGCAGTAAGAAACCTGAAGTGATGTCAACAAACATTCTGCTCTCCTTGTCAAACCCACAGCTCAGCTGAAAAAGCCTCTCTGAGCCAAACGCCATGCCAGAGACAAGCAAATGTAAAACACCTCAGAATTAAAAGCTATCTCCAAGGCAGGAGGAACACAAGCATAAACAAACAGAAGGGATGAAATTTTACCTACAGCGGATATCGTCAACACAGACAATGAATTTTGTGCATATAAAAAGAGATTACTTCAGCCCTTTATAAGCCCCTCTGAAACATCTGGCAGCCCGCTGTCCATGTACAACACAAAAGTTGGCTGCGCAGTGGGCAAAGCGCAGCTTCAATACACTCCAGATGCACTGGATTCACTACACTGGCTCTAGCACTGTCTGTGCACCTGTATTTGCATTGAAGTTTGCGCCTGGGGACCTCACATATACAAAACCCAGCTGCCTCTGTGCATCTGAGTACACGCATACGTTTGGTTTCTTTTTGGGTAATGTAAGTACATATAATGGCATTCCATAAAGAGAAAACTATTCATTTGTGCATTATATTAATTTACTAAACATTGTTAAGTGTATACAAAACACTTTTCATACAGAAGATCACAAGCACTGCAGGATTAGCAACAGATCAACAAAAAAACCAAGGTAAAATAAGGCCTGCATTTAACAGGCCATACAAAGGAAGTTCAGGCTCAGATCTGTTAAGTTTCAGAAATGAAACAACTCCAGAGCACAGACACGGATCAATAAACCATTAAAAGGACAATCCTATAAAACTGTGCGTTTTTAACAGTGCATATCACTTAAACTTTAACGTCATGAATAGAAACAAACATTTAATCAGGTCCACAGGATTCTCCACAGCAGTGATAGATAAAAACTTCTATAACAATGCAGCACAGTTGAAAACCTGTAGGACAGTAAAAAGTGCAGCAAGATTACACACAAATGTGCTCTGTTTATAGACTGGAATAGTCTGTTTTAAAAAGTATATTTAAAGATAAACACACTGTGCAGAGCTGCATTTTATGCAACAAGTTATCGGTGTTTCATAAAGCTGTGACATACAAAATTAGAATAAAGACACAAGTGTAGACAAGCACTGGATTTAATCCCATTGTGTAGGGATTCAAGTTAAAGGAAAAGACAGTATTACAGTCCTCCGTATTTTTAAAGTGAGGTAACTCAGACCTCCTTTGAGCAAGACTTGTGGTGATCTCGTATAGCAGAATTTAGACTTAGAAGCATCCAGTTACTATGGTGACAGGCATGATCTAAACGCTTAGTTAGATCAAAAAAATCCACCCATTCAAACAAACTTAGAGGGCTACTACAGAAGGCCTGGACCCAGTGGAAATAAAAGCTAAAAGATATTTGTTTTCAGAAGCTACTTTAAAAATCATCTACATCCTCCACTCCCCTCAAACACGCATACTGCACTCAAGCATCAGTATTAACTATCACATCATTTACCAAGCAGTCAACTCTGGAGTAAGCAAAATGCACGCAAAATACCATAACATGTCTCTAAAAAGATTCTCTAAGTCATCTTTGAATTCTTTTTTGTAAAATAAATGTTGCTTATTTACAAAACTAATTTACTACAAGAAAATAAGATGGTATCTGTGATGCATTATTAGATTTTCAAGTTGATGATATATGTGAGCAGGCCTATATAGAGATATAGATGTTTATACAGAGAGATACATCATTTTAGCACTGCCATTTAATCTGCTAAACAGCTCAGCTGCCACATCACTGCAGTACAGTACAGGTAAGAAACACTTTTCTGTATACATGCTATTAGTTTCTTGAAGTGATGACAGTAAATATTTAAGAACTACAGGACACATTTATATCAACTACCCCCATCATTGTTCATCATGTCTGTTGGACTAGCAGACAGGCACCGACGTTTCAAGTTAAGCCCATGGTTCAGTTGGACGACATTTTTATTACTGTTTATTCTGAAAATCTTCAGACTCATAGAAGATAAAATGAACATTCTGTATTTTGATATAAAACAAATTCAGTGATTTCATTTTAAGGTAAGTCTGCATTTTAGTAAAAACATCTTCGGCAGAGTTCTCTGAAGTAAAACTTGGGAAAAAAAGGAGGGAATGCTTCACATACCTTACATAGCTATGGAGGTATTATCTTGACTGACAGTCAAGCAAAGAAGAATGAGATCAAGATGCACCAAGAATATTGTTGTGTATCACTTCTCTGACTTGTATCTAGTGTCAATCAGAGTTTCTTCCTACAGTGAAAAGGAAAGTCCAAGGAATGAGCTGACAGGCACCTCCGCTTCAGAGACAAGATTGGAATAAGATTAAGACACTGAGTGAACGAAGTCCTGTACCCCAGTTCACTGATTATTATGTTGGGTTCCCCACTGACAGCAGTTCACACCATAACTTTGCCCTCATTAAAACTGCCCAAATAATGCCTGTATTCAAAATAAGACAGCAAAAGCTCTGAAGTTGCCGTGTTTTCCAAGGGGAAAAACAGGCATCATTCTGGTAAAAAATGGAACAAAACAAAAACCAAACCAACCAGCCAAATAAAATATCACAAAACCAGAAATCAACCCAAATTATATATGCTCTGTAACAGAAACACTACTTTTAAGGCATACTGAGGCAGAGCTTCCACCAATACGGACACCCCCAAAACTAAATTT